TCCATTCAGAATGATGCTAGCCTGAGGCTTAGCATAGATTGCTTTTACAATATTGAGGTATGTTCCTGTTATCCCTAGTTTTTCTAGAGTTTTGAACATAAAGGGATGCTGTACTTTGTCGAATGCTTTTTCCGCATCTATCAAGATGATCATATGGTTCTTATTTTTAAGTCTATTGATGTGGTGAATAACATTTATTGATTTCCGTATACTGAACCAGCCTTGCATCCCAGGGATGAATCCTACTTGATCATGGTGCACAATTTTTTTGATATGTTTTTGTATCCGATTCGCCAGAATTTTATTGAGGATTTTTGCATCTAGGTTCATTAGAGATATTGGTCTGTAGTTTTCTTTCTTTGAAGTGTCTTTGTCTGGTTTAGGTATCAGGGTGATGTTGGCCTCGTAGAATGAATTTGGAAGTTCTCCCTCCTTTTCTATTTCCTGAAGTAGCTTGAAAAGTATTGGTATTAGTTCCTCTTTAAAGGTTTTGTAAAACTCTGCTGTATACCCATCCGGTCCTGGGCTTTTCTTAGTTGGTAGTCTTTTGATGGTTTCTTCTATTTCCTCAATTGATATTGGTCTGTTTAGGTTGTCTATATCCTCCTGACTCGATCTGGGCAGATCATATGACTTAAGAAATTTATCGATGCCTTCACTATCTTCTAATTTATTGGAGTATAAGGATTCAAAATAATTTTTGATTATCTTCTGTATATCTGAAGTGTCTGTTGTGATATTGCCTTTTTCATCCCGTATGCTAGTAATTTGAGTTCTCTCTCTTCTTCTCCTCGCTAGCATCGCTAAGGGTCTGTCGATTTTGTTTATTTTTTCAAAGAACCAACTTTTAGTTTTGTCAATTTTTTCAATTGTTTCTTTTGTTTCGATTTCATTAATTTCAGCTCTGATTTTAATTATTTCTTGCCTTCTACTTCTTTTGCTGTTGTTTTGCTCTTCTTTTTCAAGGATTTTGAGATGAAGTATGAGATTATTTATTTGTTGGTTTTTTCTTTTTTTAAGGAATGAACTCCAAGCAATGAATTTTCCTCTTAGAACTGCTTTCAATGTGTCCCATAGATTCTGATATGTTGTGTCTGTGTTTTCATTAATCTCTAAGAATTTTTTAATTTCCTCCTTGATGTCTTCTATAACCCATTGATCATTCAGTAACCTATTGTTCATTCTCCAATTGATGTATGCTTTTTCCTTCCTTCTTTTATCGTTGATTTTCAGTTCCATTCCATTATGATCAGATAGGATGCATGGTATTATCTCTACTCCTTTATATTGTCTAAGAGTTGCCCTGTGACATAATATATGATATATATTTGAGAAGGATCCATGTGCTGCTGAGAAAAAAGTGTAACTGCTTGATGTTGGGTGGTATATTCTATATATGTCAATTAAGTCTAGGTTATTAATTGTGTTATTGAGTTCTATAGTTTCCTTATTCAACTTTTGTTTGGAAGATCTGTCCAGTGGCGAGAGAGGTGTGTTGAAGTCTCCCATGATTATTGTATGGTGGTCTATTAGACTCTTGAACTTGAGAAGAGTTTGTTTGATGAACATAGCTGCACCATTGTTTGGGGCATATATATTTATGATTGTTATGTCTTGTTGGTGTATGGTTCCCTTAAGCAGTATGTAGTGTCCCTCTTTATCCCTTTTGATTAACTTTGGCTTGAAATCTATTTTATTTGATATGAGTATGGACACTCCTGCTTGTTTCCGAAGTCCATATGAGTGATATGATTTTTCCCAACCTTTCACCTTCAGCCTATGTATGTCTTTTCCTACCAAATGCGTCTCCTGTAGGCAGCATATTGTTGGGTCTTGTTTTGTGATCCATTCTACTAGCCTGTGTCTCTTGATTGGTGAGTTTAAGCCATTAACATTTAGGGTTATTATTGAGATATGGGTTGTACTTCCAGCCATATTTGTTTATTTATGTTACTAAACATAGTTTGTTTTCCTCTTTGATTATTTTTCCCCCCTTTACTGTCCTACCTCCCACTGTTGGTTTTCATTGTTATTTTCCATTTCCTCTTCCTGTAATGTTTTGCCAAGGATGTTTTGAAGAGATGGTTTTCTAGCTGCAAATTCTTTTAACTTTTGTTTATCGTGGAAGGTTTTAATTTCATCTTCCATCCTGAAGCTTAATTTCGCTGGAAACACAATTCTTGGTTGGAACCCATTTTCTTTCAGTGTTTGAAATATGTTATTCCAGGATCTTCTAGCTTTCAGAGTCTGTGTTGAAAGATCAGCTGTTATCCTGATTGGCTTACCCCTAAATGTGATCTGCTTCCTTTCTCTTATAGCTTTTAAAATTCTCTCCTTATTCTGTATGTTGGGAATCTTCATTATAATGTGTCTAGGTGTGGGTCTCTTATGATTTTGCACATTCGGTGTCCTGTAGGCTTCTAGGATTTGGGATTCTGTCTCATTCTTCAAGTCTGGGAAGTTTTCTCGTATTATTTCATTGAATTGATTGCTCATTCCTTTGGTTTGAAACTCTGTCCCTTCCTGTATCCCAATGACTCTTAAATTTGGTCTCTTGATGTTATCCCATATTTCTTGGATGTTCTGCTCATGGTTTCTTAACAGTCTTGCTGAGCTGTCTATGTTCTTTTCAAGTTGAAATACTTTATCTTCATTGTCTGATGTTCTATCTTCTAAGTGTTCTACTCTGCTGGTAGTATTCTCAATTGAGTTTTTAAGTTGGTTTATTGCTTCCTGCATTTCTAGGATTTCTGTTTGTTTGTTTTTTATAACCTCTATCTCCCTGTATAGTTGGTCTTTTGCTTCTTGGATTTGTTTATGTAATTCATTGTTGAAGTGATCTTTCATTGTCTGATTTTGCTGTCCGATGTCTTCCTTGAGACTCCAGATCATCTGAAGCATGTATATCCTGAATTCTTTATCTGACATTCCATCTGCTGCAGCTATTACCTCTTCTAACGTTGAGTTGACCTGCATTGCTTGTGGTCCTTTCTTTCCTTGTCTATTCATACTGTTCGCGTTCCTTTCTACTTGGTGAAACTGTTGTGCTATTGAATTTTCCCCCTATATATTTATATTGGTCTTGTATAGTTGCAAAGTCTCCCTCGCAGGCGTGGGCAGCGGCTCTGCCCCTCCTCCAATTGGGGCAATGTGCCTACCATGCCGGCAGGCCACTGGGCCTGCTCTGCCGGTCGGTAGCAGGTCCACCTACCTTGCAGGCGCAGGCGGCGGCTCTGTCCCTCTGCGGGCCGCTAGGCTTGTTCTGTCGGTGGTCGCAGTTCTGCCTACTTTGCAGGCGCAGGCAGCGGCACTGCCCCTCTGCAGGCCTCTGGGGCTGTTCTGCCAGTGGGTCGCAGGTCTGCCTACCTTGCAGGTGTGGGGGCGGGGCAGCTCTACCCTTCCTCAGGCCACTGGGCCTGTTCTGTCTGTCGGTTGCAGGTCTGGCCTGTTCTGATGGTGGTCACAGTTCCGCCTACCTGGCAGGTGCAGGGGGTGGGGGGCGGCTCTGCCCCTCAGCAGGCCGCTGGGCCTGCTCTGTGGGTGGTCACAGTTCCCTCTACCTTGCTGGCGCAGGGGGAGGGGGCGGCTCTGCCTCTCAGCAGGCCGCTGCTCCTCTTCTGCCGGTGGGTCGCAGGCCCGCCTACCTTGCAGGAGTGATTGGAAGCTCTGTCCTGCCGCGGGCCACTGGGCCTTTTCTGTTGGTGGTCACAGTTCCGCCTACCTGGCAGGCGCGGGGGGGGGTGGCAGCTCTGCCTCTCAGCAGGCCGGTGCTCCTCTTCTTCCGGTGGGTTGCCCTCAATAATGTTCTTTATGCAACCTATTAATTTTGGGGGGGTGGAGTACTGGGGAACCAGGGATTGAACTCTGGGGCACTCGACCACTGAGCCACATCCCCAGCCCTATTTTATATGGGTCTCACTGAGTTACATAGCACCTCCTTCGGCTGAGGCTGGCTTTGAACTTGCTATTCTCCTGCCTCAGCCTCCCCAGCCACTGGGATTACAGGTGTGTACCACCATACCAGGTCAACCATTAATAATTAATAAGCATCTACTCTATGCAAAAAAACATTGAGTAGTTGTGATGGTTATATGCTAGAGCTGTGCTCTGCAACCCATGCCACACCTGGAAATTAATTATACCTGCCTGGCAATCTGGGAAAGGAGTCAACCCCCACTGAGAATTCTCTGGCACACAGAGAAGACTTCAAGTCATTTTAAGCAATTCTGGCCCTTTACAAAAACAATAAAAATAAAACACCTTATAGCATATTCAATCATCCTTTCAATGGTGGCAAATATTAATGGTTATTAACCGTGGTTTGAAGCTCCAATCAATCTAAAAACTTTGCAGCCACCAATATCCCATGGCACACCTATAAGCAGTTGTTGGCCAGCCTGTTTCCTGTTTAGCTGGGAAACTCTGTATAATAGAAACGAGTTGTCCCACAGAGATGGGGAAAGGATCCAACTCAGGAACTTTGCATAGTGTATGGATTTTGTATGTCATCTCCCTAAAAGTCACATGCTTTTTCAGTGTCAACATAAAACAATGCGGGGCTTTGTAGCTCAGAGCACTTGTCTAGCACGTGTGAGGCCCTGAGTTTGATCCTCAGCACCACATTAAAAAAATAAATAAATAAAATAAAGGTATTATATCCATCTACAAGTAAAAAAAAATATTTTTTAAAAAATGGGCACTTTGTGCAGTGTTTATCTAGCGTGTGCAAGGTCCTAGGTTCAATCCCCAATACCTCAAAATAAATAAATAGATGGTTCTTAATTTTATAGTCTTCAAAAACTGATGAAATACCAAATTGTTTTGAGACAAGGAAAAGAGACCCAATGTAATCAGAGACTAACAAAAACTGGATAAAATACTTACTGGTCAGTGAAGTTTTGCTGCTTTTCTTAAGGGCAGAGGCAGTTTCTTAACGGGTAAGAAAGGGATAGCTGTTATCTTTATTTTTTAAAAGTAAATATCATCTCTTTTTTTTATAGTGATAAGGTGATAAGACTTATTCCCAAAACAGAAGAGGAAACATATGCACTGAAGAAAATACATCACCAATTCAAGGTAACAGAATATCCGCTTGGGGTAGAATTAAGCTTGTGGTTGTTTATGGGGCTTTGCTGACTGCACCTAAATAATTGGTATTAATTAGCCAGGGGAGGTAAATGCAGAGATACTTTGAAAAAGCATTTAAAGCATTTAAGTTTAGGCTGCTCAAAAAAAAAAAAAAAATCTTAGCTAGTCACGGTGGCACACGCCTGGTAATCCTAGCTGCTCAGAGGCAGGAGGATTGTGAGTTCAAAGCCAGTCTCAGCAAAAGTGGGGCACTAAGCAATTCAGTAAGATCCTGTCTCTAAATAAAATACAAAATAGGGCTAGGGATGTGGCTCAGTGGTTGAGTGCCCCTGAATTCAATCCCCAGTATACCTCCAAAAAAAAAAAAATCTTTGAAAATTACACAAAAAGAGATGAAACTATTAAAAATTATGTAAAACATAGTTTAGTAGTTCACTTATCCATCTCCCAGGTATAATGTAAGCTTCATGAGAGTTTGTCTATTTTTACTCATTTCTTGTTCCTCAAGGCTGCCTGGAATATCCTAGAAATTCTGTAAATGTCTTGTTTTGTTTTATTTTGTTTCCTTTAAGGAATGAGTGAATTTAGCTTATAGTTTTCAGAACTTCACTTTTCCTTCTTGCAATCATCCTACGTATCAGCAAGATACTTTCCTCCTAATTAAAACTTTAGGCAGAAGTGAGTTGAGGAAAATACAACCTAGAAATGCGAGTTAATTATGTTGCTATGTTTCAGTGGGTCTGATAGGAGAATCTGGCTGGCAAAGTTTGAAGGCTGTGATTATATCATGTCTGATGAATTTTATGGATTTAGAGTTTCTCATTTCTCCATCACTACATATAATTGAGTGTTAGCTTTAACTCAAAAGTTATAAGAAATGTGGCAAAGAGCTGTTTTCCATGCCTACCAAAACACAAGCAGGCTTTTAAAATTACATGGTGATTAGGCTTCATTTTAACAAATGGCAAAGCTGATTACCAAAGCAGCATCATTAATCTCTAATATGAGACAGAGAAATATTTTTCTAGATGATGGAAGTACAATGCTACCTGGAGAAAGTGTTAGGGGATGAGACAGCAGGGATAAACATGATGGTTTCTAGAGACAATTGTAGTTTCCATATGTTTGGTCTTTTATTTATGGTTTGATTTTTCTCTTTTGTACCTTCCCTTTAAATATCATTGATTTACAAACAAAGTTTTTTTTAACTTTGAGTTTACTGGTTCCTTTCCTTCTTTCTCATCCTCAGCCCTGACCCAAGCAGTGTCCGTTTTCAAGGATTGGTATCTCCATACCCCTCCCCTAAAATTGTGGTTCTTTTACCCAATATCTGAGAGACTGTGCTTGCTGGGCTTTTCCTAAACCTCCTTTCCTCCTTGAAGGACTCTCTACTTCTGTGATGCTGACATTAACCCTTTCTGGTCATGTATGATCATCAACCCCCACCATGTCCTCTTTGGCAGTATATATCTGAACTCTCTGTAACCAGTCCTGCAGGATCTTAAGAGTTGTAATGAAGTAAAGAAAGATTTGAGTAGAAGTTTCCATTTCCATTGAAATCTTTTTTAAATATACCATTGGAAAAATGAAATAGCCACTTTTATTTTAGACTCATGTTTTAGAGAACAGATTTTCTGAACCAAATATCAGAACAAAGGATTTTTCTCCAATTTGTGAATCTATTTACATGATAGGCCAAAGCTATGAAACAAAGATACAGAGCTATGAAAATGAATTTGCACATGATGATCACTTACCATTTTCAAAAGCAGTAAAATCATATCAGTGAGAATTATTAGGGTTGCTTATAAACTCTCAGAAACCATCACAGATGGAAGATGTTGAGCATAGATAGCACTGATGACTTCACATTTATATTAGACCCTGTAGTTTCCATTTTGTCCTTAAAGAAAGGTAGTCAAGTGAGGGGTTTAGTGGACCACTGTGAGAAGGGAAGAAGAGGGTACTGGTAAAAAAGTGTGGAGGAAAGTGACAGGAAGAAGGGAGTTAATATCAGAACCCTGGCAGGTAAGGTGGTGCTTAACTAAAATCCCAGCTACTCAGGAGGCTGAGGCAGAAGGATCACAAGTTCCAGGCCAGCTTACAGTGAGATTCTGTCTCAAAACTTTAAAAAAAAAATTTAAAGGAATGGGAATATAGTCAGTGGTAAAGTTCTTGCCTAACATCGACAAGATGCTGGGTTCAGTCCCCAGCACCACCAAAAAAAAAAATGATGATGATAATGATGCTAAGACCAACGAGGCTCCAGTAATTCCACTCCATGGATAATTACATCAGCCCTTCTCAGTCACTGTGAGCCTGCCAGACAGGGCTACATGCTTTCTATAAACTACCTCATGTTGACAAGCCTATGAAGTGGGTATAATAATTATGGCTGCTTTACAGATGAAGTAACTGAGAAAGAAAGACAGAGGTGAAGTTGCCCCGTCTTGGAACAGAATTAGAACAAGCAACCAGGCAATGCCAGCCCTCTAAGACCTCTAGTCTGACTGCTCAATCCTCCTCCCAGAGGAGAGCATATAGGCTGAGTTTGCAGGGCAGTGAAGCCTAGTCTCAGAATGTAAGCACAATCAGATTCTCATTTACTTTATTCATAGAGTTGGTGAATGCAAAGATCACCCTCAGGTTCAGTGATTTGCAGGAGGCCTCACATGACCCAACATGTAATCCTCCTGATTGCTGTGATTTTTTTCACAGCAAAGAGATAAAAAAAAAAAATGAAATCCACAAAGGGGAATGGTGCATGGGGTAAAGTCCAGGGGAACCCAGGCAGAAGGCTCCAATAGTCCTCTCCCAGCAGAATCACATAGAACGTGCTGAATTCCCCTGGTGTGAGTTTTGACAACACTGTGCAACATTCTCATTGCAACGTTCTCAAGGAAGCTCATTAGAAACCCCATGTCCAAGGTTTTGATGAGGCCTGGTCATGTCATCACTATCTGTCTGGCACATAAAAAAAAAAATTCCAGGCTTCTAGAAGAAAAGCACATATTTGGCATGAACCATATTGTTTGTATAAACAATATAGGCACATTGAGTCACTCTCATCAGTTAGGGTGGTAGGAACCCTCCTGAAATCCAACTTCCCAGATGCCAGCCAAGACAAAATTTTTGCAAACAGGCCTTTCTAAAGATAGCATTTTCAGGCCTGCTCTGTTAAATCTTTCCTGCACGGTTCTTCTTTTCCTTTCACTAGAGAAATAGTTTTATTGAACTACAGTCTGAGGTATTGAGCTTAGATAAATTTCTGTCTGAAAGCATCTTTTACCTTGATGTCATTTTAAATTCAAATGATTTTACCAAGTGATCCATTTGCTCTAGGGAAAGCAGCAATTCTGGCTAGGCAAAGAAGGCAGCCTGCAGAGAAGAAAGAATATGACTGTCTGTCATCTTCTGGCCTGAGAAGCTGATAGGACAGAATTGGGGCCATTGCTAAAAGCTTCCTTGCATACCTTGTGCAGTGCCTTCAGGGGGAAAGGAGGAGATTTGCCACAAAGACTTTAGTTGCCGCCTTATTCTAAAAGCACAGAATTCTAACATGGCCCTGAGATTTCTGCCCTCTGTGTGCAAGTCCTGTAACACTGATCCCTTGTGAAGAGGATGGAATAGCCATTCCCATGATGATGTAATAGAAGGGAGATTGAGCTCTCTGAAAGCAAAAAAATTTTTCCAACTGCTCACAGAGGAAGAAGAAAGAGAAGTGCTCCCACTGGTCTCAAAGCATTTCACAATGGCTATGTTGTAAAATATCCATGGAAGTTATATGGCAATAAACGATAGTGACCTCTACAAGGTGAGTGATCCCCAGCTGATGGGCAGCAATCAGATGGAGTCATCAGTCCTACAACCACAAGGACCTGGCTTTTGCTACAACTATGTAAGCTTGGAAGAAGACCCTGAGACCCCAGTGAGAATGCAGGCCGGCTAACACCTTGGTTTTAGCCTATGGAAAGCCTAAAGAAAGAATCCAGCCATGCCTGGATTTCTCTTCTACAGAACTGTGAGATGATAAATGGAAATTGTTTTAAGCAGCTAAGTTTGTGGTAATTTGTTCCACATCAATACAAAACAGGCATTCAGTAAAGTACCAATCTATGACTTAGCCTTGGTTTTTTATATGAAGGCTTTAAGTTAATTTTCCTGATTTCACTGGCTATAACCAAGCATGTTAAGGAGAGGGAAAAGTGATTGGATGACATGCTTTGGCTATAAATTCACAAAGTCTTATCTGAAACATGAACAAATGCAAAATGTGTGTATAATATTGAGTGGAATCTGAGAAGGTGCAGTCAAAGCATGGCTAATTAGACATAGAACTGCTGTTACAAAGCTGGTTACTCTCCTAATTAAATTTTATGGTTTTGCTGAAGAATTGAAACAAGAAAGTTAAACAGAAAACCATGCCCCCAGAGAACAGGATCGAGAAAGCACCAACCAATTAAATTGTTAATTAAGAGCATAACCATGATTTAAATAAAGTTATGATGGAAGGGGGACAGGTTGCAGGTGAGTAAAATTAGAATCTGAACACCGTGTTCTGCCTGCATTTCTTCACAAATTCTTTGTTTGTGCTCTGAAGAAACAGAAATGGCTTTATGCAATATCTCAAAGTTTCTATTATAGAGTTGACACATTCTTGTTGAAGGAGAAATTAATGACATTTCTGTTTCCAGTTTTCTCATCAGAGAGAGAGAGGGTAGAAAACTGCTCTGTTTTTCTAAGTTTGTCATTTTTTTTTTCTCAAACTGGAGCACAAACCTAAAGATATTGGTTGTTCACCAGGTATCATTGATGGACATGCCAAGAGTCACAAATTCCCATAGAGGAAACTGTACTTCATCTGTACTGCACAACTGTATTTCACACCTTTGTTTTGAATGTGGAATTTTCTGCTCTCATCCCAGTATGATCTCTATCTTTCAATCCCAAGTTTTTTTTTTTCTCCTGTATTTAACTCATGTCTTCTC